AAAAAATAAAAATTTAATAAATTTAATAATTTTTTTTAAAAACTCTTTTTTTTTTTTTTTTTTTTTTTTTGAATTGCCATTACATTTTTTTTTAATTTTTTTTTTTTTTTTTATATTAAAAAACAAAACTTTCTGTCATTAAAGAATATTACTATACCCACCAAAGTCACCATCTTGTCAAAGAATGACTGTTTCAACAAAACCGGCAGCTATATCTTCTAATCAGAGAGCTGCATAACAACGTACATAAAGTTAAAGCCGAACTAAGACGAATACTAGACGTAAGTAGATTATTTAGTAAAAGTTTTGAAATGCGCATAGTTAAACATTGTTTTTCATAAATATATTGTATAGAACATGTATACAAACGTTGTAAAGCGCCTGTTCCCTCAAGACGTGTACCCCTCCCAAAGCACCCTTAAAGAATCCCTTAAGGATTATTTGAAGAAAATGTATCCTGACTTTATGTCAAATATAAATACAAATAAATTTACCAACCGGTTCCATGCTGAATGGTCTAGTCCCATATGTTACAACTTTTATCAATTATAATCGCTTATAATTTCTTATGTTACTTATTTTATTTATTTATGTTACTAATTAATACATTACATTTATATGTGATAGTTATTACAAAAAATAAAAAACTTTCAAGGTACTGTGTTGCAAAATGTTAGAGCTACCATCTGGCGTGTATTTGGATATGAGAGGCTTCCTCTATTAAAGAGTAATACTGCGGCGTCTGACATAGTAAAGTGAAAACAAAGTGAGGAAGTTGCTAGTTGTTATTGCTCTCTTTTTGAGCAAAATAAAAGTGGTGCTTTTTGGGTAGCTGTTATAGCAAGATCGGCCTTCTCTACGATCGCAGTACTCACTTTGTCTGATGAATATTGCGCTTTCACACTTGCCATGTGTGATATTTTATTGAATCCCAAATCAAAAGGCATAATATGTAAGGAGAGTAAAATGAAATGACGTATAGAGCATTTTCTAGTAAGTTTTATCATATATAATCGTATACAATCATATATAGTTTGTATCAAAAGCATTATTAATGAGTTTTGCATTGTAGAATGCTTCGCTAGTGGCAGCCCATCTTATGAATCTGCCAAATTTTTAGCTAAAAATGAGCTTGAGAACAATGAAGGCCAAAGATCCTGTGCAACTACACCAAACTGTAAATCAGAAGCAGAACCATCATCCTAACAAAGCAACATGATGCAAATGTCCCAAGATGAGATGGATCAATTGTTTAAGAGCAAACTGTAGTGTTTTTTTTTTGTTTTGTCTTTTTTTCATTTTTTTCATTTTTTTTATTTTTAATTTGTAATATGTAATTTGTAATCTGTAATTTGTAATTGCATTGTGCTTTTTTACAATATTAATTGTATTAAAAAAAATTGTAAATAAAATTAGTTTAATA